ATTAAGATAATATATTAATGTAATCAAACATATCTTGCCAGACTCAAAAAAAGTAAATGGAGATGGATAATTTATCTTGACCTTAGACCAAGATATTGAGTTTTTACAAAAGGCTCAATTCCAGCAAAGTCTGCTGGTAACGTCTCAACTATGTGAATATCATCCTTCAGCATCTCAATAAAATATCTCCAGTCAAACAAATCCTTGAAGCCACTGCAAATAAATTGAAATAAAGTAGCTTAGGAACCACTTAAAATATATGTTGAGCATATTAGTACCTCTGACATTTTGCAAGACGATTATCAATCTGGAAATAGGTTGTAGATAGTGAGATTGGAAAAACGGCATTATTGAAGATCTCTCACAAAAATGCCATCTTTCCATTAGGAGAAAAGCAGTGAAAGTTGTCTAATTGAAGATGTCAATAATAGGACTACAAGTGATGATATGCTTAAAAAAAAGGCAGCATAAGCTGCCATGAGACAAAGCTATTATCCCTAAGTTTCTTGCACCAATCGAAAAGTTCTGTGAAAATCTTGATTTGGACAAGTAGTCTAACACTCGTAATTTCCAATCAACTAAGATAGGTGGTAAGAGTCCATTTAAATCTGAATACAGTAGCTTGCAAGAAAGCAAGAAGCAAGGGTATTATGCATAAGCAATTGGCCTTTATTTTCTAATGAGCAGTGGGAACAAATAAACCAACCTCTCATCAGCCCAGTAGGAAGTATGATCAAGGGAAGGAAGGACTAGTGTTGCCTTCAAAATCTTAGCAACAGCCACCATATCACATATCTGCATTCCAGAAGTTTTGAAGCATTAATTATGCCAGCTAGATAATTTTCTGTGATAAACCATAAGCAACCAAGGTAACCATACCCCAAACCTCATCTGATTCAGGCCACCATTAGCATTTATGAGAATGCAACCATTTGTCTTCGCATCTAGCTCTATAAGAAGAAGCAGCCAGTCAGAGAGAAGAAAACGAAACATAACAACAAAATACACTGTGTAGGTAGGTAAAAGAAGTATACATTACACGAAACGTTCATACTTTTATGATTTCTTGGCAGGTCAATGCATTGACTGTAATTCTCATAGTTGGGTATAGACCAGATGCCAGCTTCCTGAATAAAAACCAAAATTTTGATGCATCCAAAAGCAAATAAACCTTTCGGTAGACCTCAAAGGAAAAAAAATTTCTTTTCATTCATTTAAGTTGTTTTGTTTCAGAACCAAACGACTGAGTGAATATTAGCAATACACCATGCAACTCAGAGTAAGACTTAGAGCAAGACTTACTTTAGCCATAGCAGTCTGGCTGCCAGTTACTCCTGTTTCTAACATCTTTAGAGTTCGTTCAGCATCAACTCCTTCCTCCCGATATCCATGATCATAGGTCCTTTGTTCCATCAGATTTGGATTAGTGATGGAACCGGATAGATCCTGATAAAATGCAGAAATGACTTCCGAATTCAGAAAGATAAATGGATTAAAAATGCAAGCAACTTTCTGCTCTTCAAATGAAAAAGTGACGCAAACTGCATGTAATATAATCATCAGTCAAACCATGACCTACATCTATTTCTTGATTTACTCCATCACCTAACAAATATTGAGCTGTTTACAAATGTAGGTGCAATATATCTATTACCAGTAAAAAGCACCAGATCAAAGTGAAAAAGAAATAAAATTCTCGATAACAATTCATGAGTTCTCCATATAAAGTCTCGTTTCAAGGCCTCGTTTACTCAAAACCAACACAAAAATTTACAAGCAACACGTTAATAGAATTCCACCTCTATTGACAAAATATGATCATGATCACTCCCAAGCCAAAAACTGAATAAGAAGTCCATGACTTTGCATCTATCTGTAAATTAGCTGATATTCACTGACATGGCAACAGTCCAAGCTACTGTAACAGACAACAAATCGTCTCCCCTCTGCCCTCTGTCATCGCGGATAGAGAACGAGGAGCAGAGGAAGCAATACCAGCAAAACCAACAAAAGATGAAGAGACGAATCCACAGAGATCAGAAGAAACCAAATGAAAAAAAATAAAATTCATTATCTTTTGAAATATTCTATGATTAAAAAATAAGCCCGGCGCCGCCTCCTAGAACTGAAACTTTCGCATTTGTCTTTACAGAAAACGCCGTTAAGCATCATATCCAGAAAGGATGACGCTTGCCAGAGTTTTTTGGTGCAACTGAATTAGAATAATTTTCGTTCGCATTAAGCAGAAAAATTAACCGAAACAGCGGAACAAGCTAGCATAACTGATGACATATGCATACTCGAGGAAAACAGAAACTGGCACGAGTTTTATGCTAACCTGTCTCGACTCAGCTCTTTCTATCGCAGATCCGAGCCACCCAGTGGCGCATATCTTCAAAACACCCAGAAATAAGCACACCCCGCAGAACACAATAAACATCCAGTGCCCAATCTTTTTCTTCTCCCTCAAGCCCAAATCAAAGACTAAGGATTCAATCGGTTTCTTCAGAAAGCTCTTCACGACCCTTGCTTGAATCCTCTGGGTCAGATGATGGGCGTGTTTCCTTTCCAAAACAGGCTCCAACGCTTCAGCTGCAATCAAGCTTGCAGCAATCTCCGATCTGGGCGAGTTCATTTGCAGCTCAATCTCACAGTGGGGACCGAGACTGTTGCTAGCGCTATTGGCGATGGAGGTGCGGGAGCTGCCATTGTTGCTGTTGTTATTGCGCTTGAATGAGTGAGCTCGACGAGTCATTGAGCCAGAGAAGCGTGGACTGTTGACTCGCTGAGAGTGCGAGACGCCATCGCTGGTGTTGAGATGGTGATCGTGACCCATGTCCTGCGTTTGCGTAGTGTATATGTGTGAGCAAGCGGGGTTTTATTGCGAGTAATTGGGTTCAGAAGAGATCGCCATTAAAGAAGGAAAGCTTGCAGCTCATTGTCTCTCTCTTCCTCTTTTGCGCGTCCGAAAGCAAGTCCAAGAGATATGCAAATGCCAACGCCAATGCGTCGCAATCTGTTTACGTTTTCTTTGAAAATAAATAATTATATCCAAGGATCTCACAGGACTTCATATTTTCTATTTTAATATTTCACGTAAAATAATATTATCTACTGTCTTAATTATAAAATTTTATTTATAAAATTATAAAGAGGTAGTAATAATCTTAAAATTTTTCAAAAATGATAATACTCCTCTGAACTTATTTAACTAATTTGATTGGATTAAAAAAATTAGATAAGTTAGTTAATTATAAAAAATATGACATATTTTTTCTAAAATACTATAATTATCTTTCTTAACATCCCCTTCCTCTTCTACTTGATTATGGTTGAGGGAGTATTTATAGGAATAATTTTAAAAAAATTAATAAATATAAAAAATAAATTTTATATTTAAAATAAAACTAATTTAATAATTAAATCTTATATTAAGAAACGCACGAGTAATATTTAGATGCTTGCATTTTATTATATATATACACACACATAAAGGCGTGATGCCAGCCAAAGCTGACCTATGACATAAAGCCAAATGGGAACACGGTATGTGATATTATAAATATTTTAAGAATATAATTCACATGCGGAAACTTATCATTGCAAAAGTGCCTGGGAGTCTGGGTGGGAAGTGGGAACGAGTGGCTGCTTTTGATCCCTCAGCCCTAACGCATCACTCTCTGACTCCTTTCGAGTCATCTCTCTGCGATGTGTGGGTTTTCGGGCCAACCGTATTGGTGTCACTGTGTGTCGTGTTCCGTTTTGGGTTTTGATTAGAATGCTGTGGGAGAAATTAAAGATGGAGCTTTTGACTGTGTTAACGGAGAGTGGATGGCGTCCTCATCATTTAACCCAACACAGATTGCCTTTGGACTTATCCATAGTTGTTTTGTTCCACTCTCATTATTTTACCTACAACTTGGAATATCTGTATTTTAAAACTTGTAAACTAGTTTGAATTGCTTTCTTGGTTTAATTAGCTAGTGTCACTAGTTTATATTTGTATATGTAAGGGTCTTGGTTTTCTTGTATTGTGCAGAGAAAATCATTGATTTGTTTCCTCTCACACTTATCATCTGCACTGTTTTTAGCCCGCACAGCAGTGGATTGGTCCGTATTCGCACTGTCAACCCGTTTTATCAGCTCTAACGTTAAGTCATAATTTGAGTGACAGTTATGTTATAAATATGAAAATAAAAATATTTATTCTTCCAAATCAATTCATGAGCCATTGATTTTTTTATATTGATTAATGATGCTTATTATATGCACAAAATATGTCACATCTTTTGCTGTACGAGGACTTTGAACACCATTCAGAAGTATAAAAGAAACAAGAGGTCAATATGAATTTTTTATCTCTTTGATTTTGGTCGTTGAATTTTTAAGCCACGAGCTTTAGGTTTTTCAGTGAGCAAAATAATTTTCAGGCAAAAAAAAGAAGAGCCAAAGTATATATTTGGTCTTCTAACTTTATATAAGGTTTCAATTTCGTCCCTTAACTTTAAAAAGTTTACTTTTAGTATTTTAACCCTGAAATTTTTTTAAAAAATGATGACATTATGATCTTAAATGTTAATAAAATATTTTTAAATACTAACATATTAAATTTAATTTTCAAAATATCCATGATTGTTACAAAAAATCATTATTGAAGCCCAATAATTTTAGGGTTAAAAAACCAAATTGAAATATTGTACAAAGACAAAATACCAAATATATGCTTTGGCCAAAAAGTAAAATAATCTAAATTTTTATTAAATTATAGTGACTAATATTTTGAATGAAAAGAAATGTGAAAATAAAAACTCATGATTCAAAACTTGAAAAACCAAAATTAAAATAAAACAAACTTAGAAAGCTAAAAATTATATTAAACCAAGAATAATATGGGGAAAAAAAACAAAAGAATAGGGATATTTAAATTTTTTGGACATGGAAGAATAATGTTGACTATTATTACACCGAAAATATAAACATCAATTGTCAATCACTGGATTCAACCAGAACCTGAAAATGATTGTTCACAAATAAACAAGGAGGGGCTCACTGCTCAGGACTTTTCCAAACCACCCCGTTGTCTTGATTTCCACAATATGTTGACCTTTATTTTAATCTTGACCAACTCTTTTTTTTTTAACGTGACCAACTCATTATTTTGACACTAATTAAGACGGAAATTTTAATTTTTCCATTAATTTATGGGAAAAAATTAATAATTAAACTAGTTTTGGTTCTTATGTATTTGCAGTTCTGCACATTAGCATAATCTAATTATACCCATTATAGTTCTCCACATAAATATGAATTACACTATAAAGTGGTTTTTATATTTATTACCAGATGTAGTATAATCTAATGATACCTATAAGTATTTCTAAGAGATCATGTAACAAATATTATAACTGAGTCGTTATTTAATTTCATTAATCTTTCTAAATTAATCAATTGGATATTATATTAAACTATTAACAAATTGGCTAGCCAATGTATAATGCATAAATAAAAAAATAGTAGAGACATAAAACATATTATTTCTGTGTATAAAAATTAGCAATTTATTTGTAATTAATATTAATAATAATAGTAGCACGATGAAGGTTTAGGGTCCTGTGGCCAGCCCTAAAGTTCTTTTGGAGGGTTGATTGTAGATACCTGAGCTCAAAGGGGGGGGAGGGGGGAATTTATCCCCAATATTATAATTTCCATAAGAAAGAAGAAATAATCCCTTTTCTCCTCACCAGCCAAGCCCGCCGGAAAGAAGGCAATGTACAACAGCAGCCGACTCTTCAACTAGCTGACTTTCCCACGCGAAAAAGAAAGGCTCCAAAATTGACCATAATGCCCATAGTGTGTCAAAAAAACTCTTTCTATTTACAAAGATTGTTAGTTAAAATAATAAGCGATTTCACCTTTATTAAAAAAACACAAATTTAAATCTCAAGAAATAAACTTATTGAGAGGGTTTTAATTTTAATACTTCTGACCTGATAGAGATTAGTCTCAAGATCAAAATGATTTAAAAAATACTCTGAGTTATACCCAAAAAAAAAAAGCACCTTCTATTTTAATTCAATTTCCAAACTATTTCATAGTCACATGAGCATATCCTCATGCGCGTTTGCCCAATACTATAAGGAATTTGATAAATAAGCTGCATTATTATTAACTCTTTAATAATATGCTTCTGACAATTTTATAATTTGCATTTTTATATTATTATCCCTGGTTTCTGATATAAAAATTAATTCAGATTTTGGATTTAATTCTAAATATAAAACTTATATTCAATTTATTTTCATGTCTCTGAAACTAATTTATCTAATAAACTGATTTATAACCTCATGTTACACATGGGTATTAGGAAGATCACGTTATATTTATTATAATTAGCTAATTTATCTAATTTTTAAATTTATTTAAATTAATTAAATAGCTCTTTCATGAAAGAATTGATTTTTTAATTTTTTGATTGCATCTATAGAATATATTTATATGAGAAAAAAAATTTGGTGTAATTTATATAAGAAAAATGGAAATAGGAGATAAAAACCTTTTTGGGGTAAAGAGAAGTAAATACAAGTTAAATACAAGTTATTATCTTTTTATTTATCCTGTTTGTCCTCTCTAAATTTGTTCTTATTAATTACTATTTCTGATTCTAATTATAAAATCTCGTTTGTGGACTATAAATAAAGTCTTATAATTAAGAATGAGGTGGTAATTTCAATTGTGGTACCCTCAAAATCATATTGAAATCGATTCTCTCCATCAACTAAATTATGATTATGTTTTGCTAATTTAATTTCACTCAGTGCTTTTAAAACCTGTCACTAATCGAATGATTTTATATAAACTGGTGTTAAAATTGAAAACAACGAATCCTGCTTCAATCGGCAAATGGTGGTTCCATTAATTACTTTTAGGCTAGTGATATGATACAATAACGAGCGCAAATATTTTTTTTTCCCTACCAGAATAAGCACAGATATTAAAATATTATGAAGAAGCGCGCAATAGAGTGATGAGTACAAAATTTGTTAATTTAAGGTTTGGCCAGGAAAAAAAAAAAAAAGAATTGTGGTTAAGGTTAATTATCTCAACCATTTAGTATGTGTTTTTTTATGGGTTGGAAAAAATGTAAATCTATCTGAACATATTAAAAAGTGTGCTAACATCAACCTAAACACATTGTTAATCTTACACTACCTCTGGTCCTTAATATAAGACCCTATTTGACTTTTATTTTGATCCTAAATATAAAACTCCAATTCACTTTGTCTCTCATATTTATATATTTTTTTCAAAGTAGCCCTTATAATAATAAGAGTTCTAGTCAATACACTTGATTAGCAAAGATATTTTAGGAAAGACAACACATATTTAGAAGAAATAATTAACTCAACTTATTTCCTTAATCTCCTCAAATTAGTCAATTGGTTTTTATAATAAGGATCGGAGGTAGTACATTGTTTGGATAACATTTTTTATTAAAAAAAAAAACCTTTTTCACATAAACAAAATTGAAAATGAAAATGCGCATGTTTGGCGTAACGGATTTGGGATTTCCAATGAATCTCGATTTTACTAAAAATATTTTAAGATAAGTTTCATTACAGTCTTTTTTAGAATAGTTTTAACCAGCCAATTAGTTAATGAGTTAACCTCTAGAAATTCAAATTATTGAGTGATTCGTAATAAATTTTCTTTCAGAGAGGACATTTTCAACCAGGACATTACATCTCTAATCAAAAGCGATGACATGCTCGTGAACGTAGGACATAAGTTCTTAATTAACAAATAAGCTGTTTCCTCCAATGCATAGCTTCTGCCACAAGAGCAGATGTTGCCTTGTATTTCCTCACCCAATCAGCCACAAGAATCTCTTATCGTGAAACTGATTCGTAGCCTCACCTGAATTTTCCAGGACAATAGGAATCCATGGGTCCTTCTAGAATCTCACATTTAACCCACTGGG